TTTAACTTCAATTTTATTTAAATATCTATAATATCAATATAGAGATGCACCTTTAAGGAACCGCTAAGTAATATTATTTCAATTTTTTTTAAACAGTATACAATTTTGGGGGGGGGTGAAGGTGAAGATTTTCCAAAGAGTTATTGGCCGCTTGAAATTCCAACCAATTAACCTTTTTTTTTTTTTTAATGGGAAAATGGTTAGAAGTTAGAAGTTAATACTTACTCATAGCAAGATTCGATTACTGATTAAGGATGCAATCCATCGATAAGCCTGTTGGGCTACAATGGTTATCAATGGACCACAACAGGAAAATGCCCAACCAATTAACCCTAATACATTAATAGTTGAGATGAACGAATTCACTAATATTATTTTATTGATAAACCCTAACCATAACTTATGTGATACCATGTATGCTTACCTATCCATATTCCCCCTCCCCCAATATAGACGCAATTTCCCTCCGTTAAAAAACAAAAAATATATATATATTATTTAATTGATGACTAATTCCTTGATAAATGAAAAAATTTTCATTGATGACGAGTAATATGTTGGGTGTCAGTATGTCTAGGGCCATTACTTCAATTCAGTGAGCCTATACTGCCATTGCGTGCGCCCGAAACATATATGGGGATGAAATCTAAAAATTAAAAAAAAAAAAAAAAATGAAGTTGGGTACTCTCTTTTTCCTATCTCTCTCTATCTCTTATTTTTATTCTTTTATTCTCTCTTTCTTTCTCAATTATTTCCATCTTTCTTATATTTTTTCTTTCTCTTGCTCCATTTTATATATTTATTTTACATTTTTTTTAAATATAACAAAGTTCTAATAATATATTTATAATTTTTTTATATAGACATAATTTGATTTTTAAGGTAATGAAGTCAATTTATATGCTAAATTGACATTTTTACATTTCAAATATAATTATTCTTTATTCATAAATTTTTGTAATCTAATAATATCAATCAATAAAAATTGAATCTTACCCTCTTTCTATCTCTCTCATCACTTCTTTTCTTTTTCATTCTCACTCGTCCTATTCTCTAACACTAAATGGTACACTCAAGGATGACATGTCTATATGTCTATATGGAAAGAGAAGATATTTTTTTGACGTTTGAAGACAATTTTATAAGTGACTAATGGCATCATGTAGGCAATGAAGACCTTTTTTTTTAGTCTGAAGGGTATTTTAAAAATTTTGGTTTGTTTTGAGGGCAATCTTTGTAAGGAGTTTTGAAAAAGATTATTTTTGCTATATTTCTATTGTTTTGTAATATTAATTGATGAGTTTAATTTTTATATGTATTTATCTACCTTTTTTGAGCCTAGAATTAAATTTTATGGGTCTTTTGTAACTTAGTTTCACCTTTGTTTATATTAAATTCATTCTTTGTAGGTGAAAATTAAGATAGGAATTAATTTTGCAATAAGTGACAATTTGCACATACTGAAGTTATTTAACCATATCTTTTTCTCTAGGTATCGGATTGAGTTGATTCTTCAGGCGTTGGAAAGCTAAGAAGCAGAGCTACAATTGATGTTTTATGAGCTCAACCCAGTTCCTTCTGTATCAATACAGAATTTAAATTGAAGTTGACGGTTTTGACAATGGACAGTGCAGAAATGAAGAGAATTGGGCTGTGTTTTATAGGTGTGGGCCAACTGCAATCCAGACCCAAAATAAAGCCCATGACCTATGTCTGCTAGGATTAAAAGAAATAAGGGTTTTTAATTTCTCAATATATATAGAAGCTACTCGGCAGAATAGAGGGGAGCCACACAGACGCAGGAGAGGGTTCTGCACAAGAGGTCAAGAGCACCCAGCCGCCCAAAATCCCAGCCACCCGCATCTGTTGTTCACCAGCAGAAGAAGAGGACAGCCGCGCGAGATTGCTCTGCACATTGGAGGAAAAGCCGCCGCCTAGCCTAATCGGAGGGACCCGAATCCAATCTGCACAAGAGGACCCTGAAATCTGTTCAACACCGCCCAGCCTTGCTTCCGGACAACAGCACACCATTCGGCAACTGCAATTCTCCATTGTTTGGGTTTTGTTGTTTCTGATTTCTTTTTACTATGATTTTCTGTTGGTATTTATCTTTCATGGCTTTTGAGAACATAAACATGTGTGGCTAGATTTCTTTGAACTAGGGATGGGTGGATTTTAATTTTTGAAATATGTGACTGTTTTTGTTAGTTTAATTCAAGATTTATTGGTTATTTGCATGAGGAGTTTATATTATTGAACTTAATGCATTGGAAGTCTGATCACCTTTCAATTGATTTAGTGATTTATGCATGAACTTGAGAAAGAATTACGTAGATTAGACCAATAATAATATAAACCGTGTGTTAGACTATGAGACCGAGAGGTAATTAGCTCACATGTAGTAGTAGAGGAAGAGAAAAGAGTTAGTAGCTCCCCCTTCTTAAGCTAGAGGTATCCATAGAATTTAATGCTCATTAGTTTGTTTAAAATTACACAGAGATATGATTAATTTAGCAAACAAATGAAGGATTAGCTTGACTTGAGAAAGCTGGTTAATTAATTTAGGGAAATCCGCCATCTCATGCAATAACACTATTATTTGAACTTGAATTAAATTAATAAAACAGTTGCATAATTCAAATTAAATGAAATCCAAACCCTAGTTCCTTCTCATTCTTTTAACTTAGAAAATTCTTTAGTTTAAATTTTCTTTAGTTGACTTAGTTTTCTTTTAAATAGTTTAGTTTTTCCCATTAATTGGTTAATTCAACTTAGGTTAGATTAATAGTGTCTTGGTAGTGTAGGATAGTCCTCGAGGGAACGATATCTTACTCATCTTATACTGCATAATCGATTAGGTTTACTTGCTTAAAAGTAGTGCATATTTGGTGCATCATTAATGTATTTTTAATTTTCGAATTTACTTAGTATATTGATCAAAATGGAATGCCTATTGAAACAAAATTAAACAAACAAGTGAATAGAATTCTTATTTATTTAGTTTTAATAATTTTATTGATTACTTTATATATTTTCATATATTTTTCTAATATACAAGATTTCAATTTACTTTATATATTTTCTTTTCTTTTCTTTTTTCTTTATTGGCATTTTTTTCTTTTATATTTTAGAGAAGTAATTGCCTATAATTAGGCGTAGCTATATATATTATTCTTGAAATTAAATTTTGTACAGTTAATTAGTTTTAGCATTCTTAAAATGCTATCAATTTTCACTTGATTATTAAAAAATATATCTTTAACAATAGGATTTAGAATTCTATATGACTTTCTTTTGAGGTGTGCAAGTTTTCAAGTTTTCAATTTTTCTTTTTATTTTTGGATTGTTTATTTTGTTCTAATCTTAAAGAAAATTAATAATTTATATAGAGATTAGAAAGGTAATTGACAAATTACTTGATAATATTATTATTATTTAATATAACTTATCAAGAGTAAAACATTAGTTTAATATTTTATTATTTACTTCTAGTAATAAGCTTTTAATTATATTTTTGTTATTTTTTTAAAACTTAAATACATTTCAATAACCTATAAAGTGGGTTGAAAAATGCTAATTTTTAAAAATTTTCAAAACCAACAAAATATAAAGGTAATTTATTCATGTAGTCCCATCCAATTTTTTAAATTAATTAACCCCTAAGGTTTCTTCGAGTCGTCTCTTATTGCAAGTTGTTTTATAGCTCAAAACATTCCAATACCACGTGTGTACTAAGGTACACTGGGAGTCCCTTTGTCATATCTTGGCTTTAAATTTTTATCCTGGAAAAAGCGAAGCTGCATGCTTCTCTGCCTTTTTTTTTTTTTTTTTTTTAAATTTGTCTTTTTTGTTTCTCTATCTAGTACTTTCTTGGATTCCCACTTAGAAAGTGGAATTATCTTCCCTTTATTTGGAATTGGAGGTCCCGTCTGTAAGGAAAAAGAAAGACAAATTATTGAATACCCCATTGCCTGCAATTACTGACCCTAAAATCCAAAAAGAGAAGATATGCAAATTGCAATCTCTCCCCTTTTGGTTTTTCTATCTAATTTCATGAATTTTTTTTCCTTGGTCAAATTTTTTAATTACATGCCTATGAAATTTTCTTCCCTTTACTAGGAGGGTCCCGTTTTGCTTTCATTTGGAGTTCCGGTCCCCCGAGTAGCATTTTTTGTGTTTTTTGTTGATGTCTTGAAATTAATATTTTTAATTTAGTCAAAATAAATTATTTATATTATAATTAAAAATTTTATAAAAAATTATTTTTTATTAACTACTTAACAAAATTAAATTTTAATTAATAAAATAGAAAACAAACACTTTTATTAATCAAATCTCGGTTCATTGGACTTAAGTCATCTTTTGTTTTT